TGCCATTTTATTAATAAAAAAACGCTCGTCCTTTATTACATTATAACTATACATATTGACTTTATACTTAAGTCAAGCTCTAAGGTTACGCGAATGTCATATTGTCTTCCAATGAAGCCATTCGCGAACGTAGAGACGCTTTCGCGACCATAACGTGGGCGCGATGGAGGAAGACTGCCGACAGCGCCATCTCTCGTTGACCCATCGCAACAATCGCGATATTTGGAGAACGCGCGCTGCGTGGTGGCTCCAAATTGCATCAATCTACGTTGGAGTCGGTCGCTATTTTTGATACACGGACTACACGGGCACTCTGCAAGCGAGCGCTATCAACGGCTCCACTATCTATAAATATCGCGCGCGTGTACACAATTTCTGACGTTTACGCTCTTTGTACACCATAGAAAAATTTACATTACAAACACGTCGCTCGCGACGCATAATGCAAAACGGCAACGCCGACGAAATCATCTCTCTACGGCACGTGATGCAGCAGTCGACCCCGCGACCTTCGCGCGTTCTTCATAGCAGCGATGATGGCGGTCGCGTTCGTGTGGCGTGACGTCATCGACGCGCGCTTTCAGCAACGCGGCCAAGTGCTAGCCGAAAGAATGATAATTGTCTCCATCAATCTCTCCTCGCCTTCGCCAGTCTACGCCTGCTGAGAAGTATTAGCCAGTAGAGGTCGCACGAACGCGGCCAGGCAAGAAGACGCAACAACGCTGCGGCATTATAAACATCTAGCATTTTCGCGTTTTGTCTATAATGAGATCTTTTCGTGTCAATAAAAAGCATCTTGCGAGCGCGCGTAATATTGCCCGACACGTGTTAGATTGGTGGCGCAGCGTCTGCGGCGCTTTTTATTACTAATGAAATCAAGAATAAATTGAAAACATATTAGAAATTATCAAGCAGGCGCCTTTCGTTAAACATAAATGCGTAATCGGCAGTGCTGTGCAACGCTTAAATATGTTTTATGCTTCTGCGGAATTATTCATAATTTATGGAAGTCGGGCGACGGCTGTGGAGTGCTGAGTGTGTGCGTGCGTGCGTGCGTGTGTGCGTGAGTATGTGAGCGAGCGAGTGCGCTCGTGCGTGCCTGTGTACGTTCGTATGTGCGTGAGTACGTGCGTGCATGCGTGCGTGTGTGCGTGAGTATGTGAGTGAGTGAGTGAGTGAGTGCGCTCGTGCGTGCCTGTGTAAGTATGTGTGTGCGTGAGTAAGTGCGTGCGTACGCGTGTGCGTGAGTGCGTACTTACGTACGTGCGTGCGTGGTGAGTGAGTGAGTGCGTGCGCGTGCGTGAATCTGTGCGTGCGTGAGTAAATCTTAGCGTGCAGACGTGCGTACGTGTGTACGTGAGTGTGCATACGTGCGTGAATCTGACTTACACGAACCCGTCTATGCATCGGACTCGAATGAAATCTGTTACGCGATCTTGTATTTCAGGAATTTATGGTTTGCTGGGCTGGGCTTGCTGCCATGTTGCGAGCGGAAAAAAATACACATAAATATAATTGCCTCGATCCTGCCATGTACCTACCCATCGAGCATGCTACGCGTAAGCTTCCTGTTCTTGTTACGTAGCTAACAGGTAGATTTTACAGTCACTGTTTAACTACATGGTTGCACGTATCTGCATGCTCTCTGTCAACACGCACTACGTACAATGTCGGTACGTCCGCACGGTCTCGCACTAACGGTACACGCCAATCGTACGTTACATACACGTTTGTAGTACGTAGCATCGACACTTAGCATCGTAGCACTTTCTACGTAATTACATCTATATCGATAATAAGTTACATGTACAACTATAGTGTGTTACATGTACTCCTATAGTATGTTACATGTACGCTCATAGCATATTATATGTACACCCATTGTATGTTACATGTACACCGACAATACGTTTCATGTACACCTATGGTATATTGCATGTACACCCGTAGTACGTTACATGTACACCTATTGCATGTTGCACGTACACCGATATTATGTTACATGTACACCCACAGTATACGTCACATGTACACCTATGGTTTATTGCATGCACACTCATAGTATGTTACTTATACACCCATATTATGTTCCATGTACACCCGTAGTACGTTAGGTGTACACCCATAGTATATATGTTACATGTGCACTCATATTACGCTATGTATACGTTTTGTAGGCGGTAAAATTTCTAACAAGTAGCCTCGCCCGCCGAGAGCTGTGAGTTAGGACGTTGTGCGTGTTTCTCCAACCACGCAAACGGCTGCACGAGAACAAGGAAACCAGCATTCCCCGCAATTTCCACTCTATGGTAATAAAAATTAAAATCGAAGAACTTAAGTATTATCAAATTATTGCAGCTCTGGGAAATGGCAAGTGTAGAACTTAACGATCAACAAATGAATTATTATGATAATGTATAGTTCGGCTCACTAATTAGATGTGTGTTGGCGTCACCACCTACTTTTGCAATGCCTCGCATAAATAGGAAAGTGGTTCGTTATTTTCTACAAATTGCGTTATGCCCGTCTACGCTGGAGAGTTGCCGGAGCAGGCGCCTCGCCAGCCGTCTCTCTCTCTCACTCTCGCTTCGCACACAAAGCTCGCTCGTTAGCTTTCGCCTGTTTTATGCTCGCCATTGTCTTCGCGACGTGCGATATTAAATAGTGTTATTATTGGTCCGAAACGTGATGCATATATTGCTAATGATTCGTATATGTGAAATGAATGAATGCATTGCGGCATTGCTCGGCGTCAGCTGCGCCTTCGTCGCGACCAAATAACGGATGCTTTCTGGCTAATGACGCCGCGCGCGAACGAGTGCAGTTGAAACGGTGCAGGTAAGAGTGCAATTACGATTGTCATACCTGCGTAGTAATCGATGAGCCGTATAGCCTGACAACGATATGTAGAGTTGAATGTATGCATTTCAGTGCGAATATAGTCACGCTCGCTGCTGCAGGGCAAGACCAGCACTGACGGATGTGCAGGAGCATATATTATATAAGAACTGATAAAATATAAATATGAAATGTCAACAGGTATTAGATGCGATCTATTCGGAGACTAGCGGCAGGTGGCCATAGATCACCGGAGCATTGGTTTCGAGTGGAAAAGTAATCTCGATGACAATTGTATTACGATTTCAAGGCGATTAATTCGACTCCGTCGAGGGATGCTGTTGCATGTTAATTGCTGGCCGGCTCCCTGTGTGAGCGGTAGGCATGTCTACTGAACTTTGCGCGTGTTGATGTGAACTCGCGTCGATTCATCGTGACCGAGGCTCGGGCACTTGCAGTGATTCTTGTTGCCAGCAAGATCACTATCCGTACTGCGTAATTTACTATCAACAGTTGCTGTGTATTTGATTGTTGATTGCCGCCGCGGCAGTTGTTTGTGTCAATCAATCGTTCAGTGTAGGAACTGGATTGCGCATGATTTCGCAAGCATTTAGCGGTCAGCTGTCGCAGCGTAGTAGTAATTCATCGCCATGCACACGTTGTGATTCCCATGTGTGTATGTTTGTAGTAATCGATTGTCATGTGACGCGCTTGTCTCTATACTATGTGTGTGGGCTGTTGTTGATTGCTTAATCAGTTAGACGTACTTAGTGATGAGCTAGATTGATAGAGCGTTAGTCACCTAGTGGAGTCACTGGTGTAGTAAGGTTACTTAATTGTGCTTCAAGCAGACGCCACGAGACAACTCAGTTGTTACACGCCGTAAACGTAATTATTTTGGGTTTATAGTGGTATTTACCCATAATCGTCGATCATAGCAAATCAGATCAGGATGATCTGTGTCAGAAATACGCGCGGCGTCTATGTAGAATATGTGCATGTGAATGTATCTACTGCATCTGGAAAGCAAGTGGAAATTGCCACGTGTATGTCTCTCTCTCTCTCTCTCTCTCTCTCTCTCTCTCTCTCTCTCTCTCTCTCTCTCTCTCTCTTTCTCTCTCTCTCTCTCTCTCTCTCGCTCTTCTCTCTCTCTTTCGCGCTCATCTCTCTCTCTCTCTCTCTCTCTCTCTCTCTCTCTCTCTTATCTCTCTCTTTCTATCTCTTTTCGGGTGTGTGTGTGTGTGTGTGTGTGTGTGTGTTGTGGTGCTGTGTGTGGTATTTGTGTGTGCGCTGTGTGTATTGTTGTGTGTGTGTTGTCGGGCAGTGAGAGAGAGAGTGTGTATGTCGCGTGTGTGGCTGCATGTATGTAGCGCTTGTGCTATCTCCTGATGTTATGTGTGTGTGTCGTTTGCACAGCCTTTCAAAGTGATTTAAACGCAGTGTAATACTTGCATGTCTTGCCTTAAAACTAAAGTAAGCAGCAGCAGGGTATATATTGGAAAGTCACGATTTTTTATGCAATCCCTATGCAATCAATAATTTATGCTTACTATCTTTTCTGAAATCAGGTCTTCCCGTAAAAATGGCGACGCTTAAACTCTCTTCAAGATAGCTTCTATAGCGTCAGAGTTGTTAGAAAAGATATCCCAGAATTGCACAGGGCTTAGCGATACGCCCTCTCCGTTAATATGTTCACATTTTCCTGTTCGGTTCCGATGATTTATAACCGTATTCTTATCCTTTGAGTAGATAGTCTGAAGACGTTGGAAGCTTTGTGCTCCAAAAAAAACATTAATTCCCTCGAGTGCAAGGTATACTTTGCCGTATCACAGACACATAAAATTAGGCTTATAAACGTTATTTTCATATAACAGAAAGCAATATAGATGAGGCGATAAAAAGGGGTTTTCTCGGCGCGTTAGCTTGAAATAAAATAGCAATAAAAACAATCAG